GCTCACTAAAGACACTGAGTGCAAGAGTGTCACTCAGGGTTAGGGATGGTCATTACCCTGTCCAGCGAGCAGACCAGCTTAGAGCTGCCCAGTCATCCTGAAACAACCTTATTGTGCTGTCTTGGTAAAACTCTGCTGCCCAAACAATTTCTCCTGGTTCTGTACAACCTTGGCCGTGAACATTTCCTCACCTAAACCAGAGACATTTCCCATCACATGAAACATCTTGAGGCACATGAAACCCCTTTTTGCATGACGAGAAGGGACTTCAGCCCCCTTCTCTGTGTGCTCAGGGACCATAGGCCCCGTTGTGTAGCACAAGGGACATAAGGCTCTCCCTGTGCCTGTCTCCAAAAGCCTTCAAGCAGATACTCGAATCCCACCACGTCAAAACTTGTGGGGGCCTCCACAATTCCTCTGTGGCTACCTTAGGCTGATCATGCTGCGCATGCCTTCTCCACCCACTACCCATGATTTCACTAAATCTGCACCAAATATCACTGCAATAGAGAGGCTCAAATCCATCCTTCTAATTTACACAGGCTCTGCACACAGAATTATAACACTCCTCCTCTGGCTCCTTCCTACTCTGAAAATCCCAGCAAGTTGGATATTTGGAGGAGGGAGCTCCAGAGGTATTCCTCCACGGTCCCATCTGGGCTGCCACAGTGCTGAGGAAACTCCCCTGTGTTACAATTCTGGAGGCACAGCTGCCTCTAGCGAGCTGACAGGTGCCCTGTTGGATTCCCTACCCACTCCACTCTTACCCAGTTAGAGCGGGTTTCTGTAGTCATTCCACCCGGGCTTGTGTCAGCAGACTCGCACATGTCTAATTCCATAAAGAGCCACCAGCTCCTGCTGCGGCTGTCAGTGTTCTCCTGGTTAAAAGGACAGGTATCTGCCAAGGAAGGCGGGAACCTCCTTTGGAATGGAAAATGTGACCCCCTTCCATCCAAAGTATTGTAACGTTGAAATTACAGGATTTTCAGACAGGAGATACAGGAGTTACAGTTCTTTCCTAGTGTGTACACAAACAAGGCAAACCAACAACAACAACAACTGCAACAAGAACCAACAGAAACAGAAGAGCAGTAGGAGCTGGTGACTCTTGCCTATATCCCAAAACTAGGCCAGATGTGGCCTTGTGCAGTTTCTAAACATGGAAAGGTAATCCATGTTTCTCCATTGAGTGGACATAGATAATGTTTGGTTGGAAGGTTCATCCAGAGGACATCTTTTGTTGAAGGCCTCTTCTTCTGGCCTTAGTCAGGGCCTGTAGATCAGGACTTTATACTTCAGTACCCCATCCCTCAAAATGATCAAGAACAGCCCCTGAGCCAGGCTGTGTACAATGTGGACAACTGGGTCTAGTGCAAGTCATCCTTCCCAGCCCATGGTAGCGGGTTGGAGCTTTGTGATCTTCAAGCCTTCCAACGCAACCATTTTATTGCCCCTTGGTTTGATTTGGCCCTTTCCCAGTGGGCCTCCATGCCACAGGCCGCAGTGCCCAGAACACGGAACTCTGTCCTCCGTGACATCAGCCCCGCGGCCGAGGATACCCTGGCTGCTGCGGGCATTGCGGCTGTGGCTGTGCTGCTGCACGGAGCCCTCAGTGCTTGCAGCTGACACGTGCCTCTGGCAGCCATGGATGGGCTCGGCCTCCTCGTCCTGCTCACCGTGGCCGGGCTGGTGCACGGAACATGGGACAACTGCGGGTAAGTGGGCGCAGGCCCTGGGAGGGAGCCACGGCAACACTTGGGGCCTTCCCTGGAGGAGCCCGCCTGTCCCCCATGGCCGGGCCACAGCTTCCCACCCGCCATGGGGAAGCCTCAGCTCCTTGCCAGCAGCCAGGTGCTGGCACGGACAGACGCACACGCCATGGGCTTCCCTGGCCTGCTGTGCGTGCAAGCCCTTGTGGGGAGGGCAGAGGGCTGAGCTTCAGCCTGAGCCACAGCAGGCCATGAAGCCAACAAGGAAATTGCTTTCTGCTTGCAGAGTGAGCTGCGGGCTCCGAGCTCTGCCACCTCTCTACAGTCTTATACCTAATGACTATGGCAACATGTCTTATGATGTGACACGTGTCGTGGGTGGCGCAGATGCCCTGCCAGGGTCTTGGCCCTGGATCGTCAGTATCCAGCACCCTTGGGTACCAGATCTGAGGCATCTGTGTGGAGGGTCCCTCATTGGCCACCAGTGGGTCCTCACGGCAGCTCACTGCTTTGACCAGATCACGTAAGGAGGAGCAGGGAACGGGGACATCACCACAACACCACCAGGTGCCCTGTCAGCAGCTCCAGCTGCTTTTCCCATTCCCATTCCCTTCCCTCTCAGGCAGCCCAGCTGCCACAGTGCTTCAGGAGAAGCCTGGCCTTGTCCAGCTTGACATTTCCCAGCCTAAGGTGTGCAAGGGCACTCACACCTACCAGAGCATGGCTCCCTCTCTGCCTTGCCAAGCAGAGCTCTGGCAACTGCTGGGCTGCTGTGGCACATGGCTCTACTCTCTCTCAGCCCTCTCTCTATGCCATCTAGGAATATCAACATGGTGTATGTGGTGATTGGGGCCACCCAGTTGACTCAGCCAGGCCATGAGGTACAAGTGCGCCATGTCAAGCAGGTGCTGATACACTCGTACTACAATGCGGACAACATGAGATACGATATTGCCCTGATGGAATTGGACCATCCTGTTGAGTGCAGCCCCTACATCCAGCTGGCCTGTGTGCCCGACGCCACACTGATAGTGTCAGAGCTGCAAAACTGCTGGGTGGCTGGCTGGGGTTACACTACTGCAAGAGGTAAATTCCCAAGAGAGACTCCTGGGCCAGCTCATCACACTGGGGAGAGGGTGTGGGCTTCCTCACAGCAGAGGCCAAAGCCAGGGTGCAGGATTTACACCTCTGCAGAGATGGATCTGGCCATCTGGTTGCTCCCCAGAGTCTGGCAGCAGCACCCCAGTGCCTCTGTAAAGGCAATGCCAACCCATGGGGAAATGGATACCCCACAAGACAGCCTTGGGAGGAGAACTGGGAAGGAGCTGGTAGGGGATCATTCCTTTCTCTGCTCATAGCTCCAAAATCAAGCGATCACCTGCAGGAGGCCAAGGTCCAGCTCATCGATCTCCAGCTCTGCAACAGTAGCCACTGGTACGCAGGGAAAATCCACACCCACAACTTGTGTGCTGGTTACCCAGAGGGCAACATCGACACCTGCCAGGTAGGAGCATGCCATGAGCCACTCAGCCCCCAGCAGCACCAGCAGCCCGGGCAGCA